AAGGTATTTTGATTTTTATTATTAATATTTGTTTGAAGTTTGCTGTAGTTATCTGAGCCCTTTCAGGCAGACACTGTGTGGGTCCTTAATAATTTTTCATGTTGATTCTGTGACTGTCCCTAATAGTTCTCTCAAGAAGCTGAAATAAGGTCAAGTTGTTCAAATACTTACACAGGACTTTGGAACCTATTGTACCTGTGTTCAAAGCTCCTAAAACACTCAGAGTTTTATTAATGCCTCATTCTCTGGGGAATTGTGTGGAAACTCTAGCATGGAATTATATTCCAGTGATCAAGTCAGTTTTTTTTTAAATGGGTGAATTTGTTTTATTGTTTCTTCTGTATTTATTTATTCCATAGAATTACACACCCCAATTAATAGAAACAATGTCAGTAATTAAAGCACTATATAAATATTAAAATGAATCAGAAGATTACAAGGCAAATCAAAGTGGGTATATCTTGAAATTTATTATATAACTTACACTTGGCAATAAATAGATATTTGTAACTGTTCCCACCATGCAAGTGCATCATAGTTTAATACAAACAAATTATGAGGGGAGTGGGAGTGAATATAGTTTTGACAGAAGCAGAATAAAACTCATATGCATAAATATAATAATAATAATGCATTTTATTTACTTGTGTGGTGTCTAGCTACAGCTGTATTCTAGCTGCTTTGTGATAAAATTAAAGCAACTGATTAAATACCGATTAGCTGGTTAGAGACAGATCAGATTATACCAACAATTAAAATCAGTGTAAAACAATGTATTCAATCAGTTCTTTATTCTTTATTTTATACAAGTGCTTTGAGTATGCAGTGTGTTGTTGTGATAGCACGAACATTTGGGCTCGATGCAAAGAGGATTAGAAGCTTTACCCTGTCTGGCACCTAAGAAATGGGACCTTTGAAGCACATTCCAGGTATGAGGACAATGTGAAGAAGGGTGCACAGGTAGAAATGAATGGGTGTGATCCATGTAGGGCAAGGTGGTACTTGCCTAAGCTGTGTGGTTGGAGTCATGAAAAATGCTTTTCCATAAGAAGCAAAAGGTTGAACTCCATGCAGAAGAAAATAGGGAGCCGTAGACAGTACTAGAATAAAAGCAGTGCAGGCAGATTTTTTGGATTACCAGTTATGGACATATTAATGCCTCTCATATGCAGAAAAGGCTTGAGTTCTCACACCTGTCAGGTGGAATGTTATCCTCTTTTGAGAACATTTAAAGCGACAGGAATCATGTACCGAAGTGGCATGAAAGTCATCTATGTGCCTCTTCCACAGTTTTTACCATTTCTGTGTATGACCAGTATATGGCATTAATATAGGAAATATTTCTTTGAGTCAAATCACTTTTAAAACCTGTTTGTTTTAAAGAAAACTGTCACCATTTTAAATGGGAAATCATGGCATCTATCATGAAGAGAAGAGAAACACAAAAAATACTTAATGAAAAGAAGGTACCACAAACTAATTCGAGGTAGGAGCTATTTCCTGATAATGACTTTGTCTCTCTGTTTATTTGACTCTGATTGACTTGCAAAGCCAAATAAGCATGTACATTATTTGGGATTTATTTTTTCTTTTATGTACATATTTTTTCATTAGCCTAAAAAAAAGAGAAAAAGAAAAACTGGATTGTGTCATTGGGATGGAGGGTAAGTTTGCAGTATTGTTATGATACTGGGCCCAGTTCCTGTTTGACCCAACTCCTTTTCTTCCTGGAAAACAACAATAACAAAGGAGGCCAAGTGAAAGTTGTCACCCTTTGTTATTAGCTGGGTCTTTTGACCTTCTGTACCCACATGGAACCACAGTGAGCTGGACTGAACTTTGGTGAACACTTACCTGCATAAAAGTGGCTTTGGTGACCTGGATCCAGAGCATTTCTCTTTAGCCCTAATTAAGTGACTCATCTCATCTAAGCAGGAGGAGGGGAGGCTAATCCAGAACACCCATAGCACTTGAGAAAATGTAGCCAGAGGACAAGAAAGAGAATGTTTACCTCTAGCTGGGGTTGGTCCAGGCTCGTTGGCTCAGACCTGCTCGGGCCGGGTCATTGTCCTCAGGGCTGCTGGTCACTAGAAATGAAGAGAAGGGGAGGGGGCAGAGACTGAGAGAAAGAGACCAAGAGAGTGAGCATTTTATCCTCTGCATGAGCAGACAGGAGGGAAGATGGACATTACACTGTGCACCCCTGATGGCTCCATCACAAGGGAGCAGAGTGTTCTAAATGGAGCTCCTTTTCCCTCTGGAATGGAAGAATTACTCGCCCTTAATCCTCACTCATTGTGAGATGGTATAAAGGGGGTGGGGCAGGAGAAGGGGAAGCCTTGTGTTGAGGCACATAAGCTACTTGCATATTGGACGAGAAATGCAGAAGGGAGTAGGCATTGTTTTGTCCATCCTTTCTGTTTCTCCTCTGATTTTCGTGAAAACTCAGGTTTCTGGCCTACAGCTCAAGTAGGCCAGAATGTGTGTGTGTATTTATATGTGTGTGTATGTGTGTGTGTGTGTGTGTGTGTGTGTGTGTGTGTATTTTTTTTTTGCAGACAAATGTTTTTCTAAACTAGTTAAATAAGTACAGAATGTTAAACTTGTAGTTAGACTAGAAGTCAGAATAAGAAGAGGGAATAATTGAAGGAGGGAAGTGACTTTGGGTGGTTTGCCAATGCTGAAGACGTGATGTTTTTCAGACACACTGGTTTGGGAAATAAATTGCGATCCTAGCAACATTCACTCAGTGCCCAATGAATGTTCAACACCTCTGCTGCCTCAATTAAAAATAATCAATCTCTATCATCTTGATGAGTTGCTCTGAAAATAACCACCAATTATCCCGACTTCAGTAGAGAGGATAATATACTTCTAATTGGGGGCAGACTGGAGAGGAATACAGAGATCCCTACTAGATACATGATAAGAAGGATTTCTTCTTCCTAAAAAAAGAAGTCTACCATTCACCAACTCTTGCAGATAATAAACACGAAAATGCGCTCTTCCAAAGAGACTTATTGAGGAAGTGAATTCTTACTTCCCTGGGACACATGAGAATAATTAAGATGCTCATCAACAATCCAAAGTGCCTATTTCTATGGTCTGAAAATGTACATCATGTTAGAAAATAAGAAATTGGTGGTTTCCAGCTTGGAGAAGGGATGACTTGGCTTTCGTGGTGTGGTTATTGGCAATTATTTACATTTCTTCAGATACTGTAGTGACTGTCGTAGAAGCGGGACTAAAATTTATTCATTTTAGTTCCCGATGACAGACGCTAATAATAGGGAAGCTGATTTTAGCTTAAAATAACAAGATAGAAGCAAATATAGAGGTCAACCAATGGAACGAACAGCCCTACAAAGTAGTGATATTCCCTTAGTGAAAGGATTTAAGTAGAATTAGGGTTCTGTGGAGGCAAGTAACAGAGACCAATTTGGGCTAACATAAGAAGAAGGAATTAATTAGACGATATCAGGGAATTAACAGAATCAAGATAGGGCAGGAAGACCAGGTTTAGAAACAGGAAAGGAATCAAGATGCAGTTCACTTGACTATTGAGGTGCCACGACAATAGTGAATGAGTGATTGAGTTGCCTGTCACCCTACTTAGGATTCAGAGTTCTGGAAGAGAAGTTTCAATTGCCTGAGCTTAGGTCACATGCTCATCCTTTGGCCATACAGAGTGGGGACAGCAGAAAATCTACGGATCCCTTCAAATATTCTAGTAGAATGAAGTGACACACAATTTACTATCCCACTAAAACTTTATAACAGGGAGAAATTCCCCAAAAGGGAATCAGGATATTTTACATTGAAATAATAGGGGCTGAGGAGCCAATAATTAACAGGTGATGTTAAGCACAGAAGTCAGCTGAACATCCATTAGAAACATTATTAAGGAAGATTCTTCATTGGGCAGGAAGTTGGGTAGAAAGCGTTGTTCCCTCTAGCTCCAGTACACGCTCATGGGCAAGAAGAACCTCATCCTTGGAAGACTAGTGCTTGGGCCCACTTAATGGTTGTCAGGTAGACTTGGGTAATAACTTCCTCTGGTTTCTACAATTGTACCTAGGATTGGCTTCCCTTTGAAGGTTTTTATCCGTGATAGAGCAACCAAATACTATATCATATAGAAAATTCACATGCTCTTAGGAATTCCATATCACTTTCTCTCTCCTCCCATTCCCTCTGACAATCAATTTCTAAATCCTACTTCAGGCAGTCTCCTCAAAAACTCCCACTGCAAAAACAGGGTTTCTCTGTGTTCTCATAGCACCCTCTGTGCTGTGGATTGAATGTCCCCCCCCCCAACTTAACCCCCACTGTAATGGTGTTAAGAGAGTGGGAAATCCAATTATGGTAATTGGAAAGTGGGGTCTTGAAGAGATGATTAGATTGTGAGGACCATGCCCGAGTAAACATATTAATCTGTTGATGGATTGATGGTTGTCATGGGCATAGTTCTGAGGGCTGTAGAAGGAGGAGTGACAAGTCAGCTGTCTGCTATACCATTCTGCCATGTGAGACCCCTGTGTCGCTGAAGTCACTACCAAAGAAGACCCTCACCAGATGCGTTCCCTGTACTTTGGACTTCCTAACCTCCCAAACTGTGAGCAATAAATAGTTTCTTTATAAATTACCCAGTTCCAGGTATTTTGCTATGAGCAACAGAAATGGACTAATACACGCTGTCCATGCCTCTAGCAGAACATCGATCAACAGAGTGTCTGATGTTGTTTCCGTCACTGGACCAAGTTCCTCCTTGATGCAGGAAACTTGTCTTTGACTGTTGTACTTTTAGCACATAGCACAGGAACAAAGGAGATGAACAAATGATGGAAGGAATGGAAGAAACAAATTGAAATATAAATAAATAGTGAGCAGAGAGGCCTCTCAAGGTTGGGTTCTATATTGGTGCCTTCCCAAATATGTCCTAATCCATACACTTCCTGGTGCTAAGCACTGTGAATATTTGATCTCTTGGTATTTTTCAGGTGGAAACTTTCTTTGGGAAGCTGAAAGCATTTTACTGTATTGATTTGTTCTCACCGGAGCTGAGCTGTGAGTGGTAAGTAGGCGTTTGTTTCTATTATGACTGTCAATAGTATGATTTCAAATCACTTTTATCACAGTGGTTTCAAGGAATCACACCTTTAATTTACAAAGCTAGTTCCCTAGAGCTGATCCAAACCAAACCATACTGAGCAATGGCCTAAGCTTTCAATTCATGGACACTAGTATTGGAGGGAAATCATCTTCCTTTCTTATTTATATTGTGTGTGTTTGAGTACAGAATCCTCAATTTAGGTATGAACAAAGGTACATACCCAAGCATTGAAATCCTAAAAAAAAGCTGGAATATTTTAGAGAAGAGAGAAATCACAAGCAAAGAGAGGGGAATCTGAATGAAATCAGAATGCCCTGGTTTCAAACAGAGCTTGGACAGGTTACTAACCTCTCAGTGCTGCTCCTCTCTGTATTTTGTGAAATGTGTGAAATGAGGGTGAAGGTAGTAACAGAATGTAATTCATAGGATTGTTGTGACAAATAAACTTGCTGGTCTGGTTTGCTCCCCATTCTCCACAGACCCAGGCCTCCTGGGCAAAAGTAAGGGGAAGAAAGAGCAAGCAGAGATTTCTTTAATCCTGTGCCTAATCACATAGGACACCAAGAGTATGGACCTCTTTTCCAACTTCATGCTATTTCCTGCATAGAGGAGAAGCTGATAAAGGGAACAGGGCTATATGCAACTATACAATTCATTACCTGCAGTGACCTGGTCGGAGCTGGCAACAGAAGCAACACTCAGAACAGCAGTACTCTTACAGCCGTACTCTTTTTTTGCATAGTACATTTTTAATTGGTTATGAATATTCATGAGATACAAAGCTGATTGTCATCACTCGTGCCCAAGATGTGATGGCCAGATCCATACTGGCAGCATGCCCATTACTAAAAATTGAGATTATACCTTGTGTCCCCACCCAATTATCCCCAACCTCCCTCCCCATCCACTTTCCCCTGACTCCACTTTGTATCCCTAGGTGTGCTCTCTCCCTCTGGAAGTCCAAGGTCCCACTGTGGTCTTTCTTTCCTTTCTTCTTTCTCTCTTAGCTCCCACTTATGAGTGAGTGCATGCAGTATTTATCCCTCTGTGCTTTGCTTATTTCACTCAGTACTCTTGAGTATGCTAATTTAATTTTACTTGAATTTAACAGAAGAAAAATAAACTGAAGTGAAACTCAAGGACTTATTGCACTTCAGATATGTATTTTTTCACCATAAAAGCTATTTGTTCCTAAAAAGACCTTTCTAAAGGTTAGAAGAAAATATAAAAACATTAAAAGGTTGAAGTTCTTCTGGGTTTTTAACAATATCAGTTTTAGATGTTATCATTTGGTAGGAAAAATGACATGATTGGTTTCTCTCATTTCTTCCAACTACCTTCCAACTTTGTTGCATACATTATTTTTACTCTGACAGGTTGTCTTAGTTTGCTCAGGCTGCTATAACAAAATATCATAAATTGGGTAGCTCATAAGCAATGAAAATTCATTTCTTAGTTCTGGAGACTGGGAAATCTAAGATCAAGGCATTGGCAGGCTTGCCATCTGGCAAGGGCTTGCTTTCTTATTTCTAAATGTACATTTTTGCTATATTCTCACCTGGTGAAAGGGACAAACTAGCTCTCTAGGGTCTTTTTTTACAAGGGCACTAATACCAATCATGAGGTGTCCACCCTCATGACTTAATCACACCCAAAGGCCCCATCTCTTAATACAATCACTTTGGGGGTTAAGATTTCAATGTATAAATTCGGGGGAGTGTATTGGTGTGGGAAAAATATGCACTGTCTTTCCTCTACACTCTTATTCAATGACAGTCAACACAGAGGAGACTGACTTCTGCCACCAAATGTGTGAGGATTTTTCCCCACTGGCAAGCAAGCTAGCACTTCATCCCACCTCTTTCAGATGCCAGTCACAAGTCCAGGCCTCTGCAACTTTTGACCAACTGGCTATAAATCAGGGTTCCCACAACCCCCTCCTAGCGTTCGATTAGATGGCTTGAGTGGCTCACAGAGTTTAGGGAAACACATTCATATTATAAAGGATATTACAAAGGGCATAGATGAAGAGATGCGTAGGGTAAAGTATGGGGAAAGTGTCATGGAGTTTCCATGCCCTCCCCAGGCATGCCACCCATAGAACCGTCATGTGTTCAGCTATCCAGAAGCTGTCTGAACCCAGGCCTCTTGGGTTTTTATGGAGGCATCATGACCTAGGCACGATTGATTAAATCATTGGCCACTGGTGATCAACTTAACCTTCAGTCCCTCTCCCCTCCTTGAAGGTTGGGGGGGTAGGACTGAAAGTCCCACCTTGGTCTTTCCTGTGACCAGCCCTTATCCTGAAGCTACCTAGGAGGTACTAGCCACCATTAGCATGTGGAAAGGTGATTATCACTTTGAAGTTTCCAAGGATTTTAGGAGTTGTATGTCAGAAGAAGGGGACAAAGACCAAATATATATTTTCATAATATCACAGGGGGACATAAGCATTCAGTCCATTGCATGGGTTTGTAACATCCTCATTGTTTTTTTGCAAATGTGATTCTCCCATTTGTTCAGTCCTGGTTTTATTTTTATTTGGATCTAGCTCTACTAGTGTTTTTACCATGGTTTTTACATTCCAGGATTATTTATTGTGATTTATCTCTTAGTCAGATACCTTTCATCATCAAGCAAATTTTTTTTCCCCAAGAAAGGCTCATGAAGGTTATATTCTGAGATTTTCACTTTTGAGAAATCTACCTATTGCCTTTATAGTTGAATAACAATTTGGTGGATATGACATTCTTGGGTCACCTTTTCTCTCCCTCTGAAGTTTAGAGACTTTGCTATGTGGTTTTCAGAGACTGGATGTTGCTGTCGAGTGTAAAACCAGGCTGATTCTTTTTTTCTCCATTGTAGTTGACTTGCTTTCTTCTTCGTGGATGCCTGAATAACTCTAGTTTTATCCTTGATGTATAATAGGTTAATTAGGATGACAATGCTAATTGTTGCATTTTTTCCCAATATATTATATAATTTTCAACCAGATTCAGTTCTTTCTTCACTTTAGGGAAATGTTCTGTGTGATAACTCAGCATTTTTCTTTTTCTGGCCCAGTGTTTCAGGGACAGTAATTATCATTTTGTTGGGTTACTTTATGTATCTTTCAAATTAATGCTCTGCTTTCTGTTTGCTTTAACAAGTTCCTTGCCTTTTTCTTATGTATTCACTATAGCTATTTTGAGTTTCTCTATCATGATGTTAATTGGGTTTTTAGCTTTGGCTTTTTCTATTTCCATTATTAATTAATTTATTAGATTTTCAGTGATATGTAATATTTTTCACAGTATTTCCTTAGCTCTGGAATTTCCTTTTTTTAGTCTCGTTCATGTTTTATCCTCTCAACTTAGACTCTTAATGAAGATTCTTATTAATTTCTTTAATATCATAAAACACTCATGGGTAATCTGTTTTTGTTCTTTGGGCTATATTTTCTTCCAACTAAGTTCTTCACCTGTCTTTTGCATTATCTTCACCCCATTTTCCCACCCCCTGATTCAGGCAGTAAGTCTGCATGGTAGTCATACCTTTTGTTTTTATCCTGCTTACTATTGTGTGTTTTATGTTTTTTTTCTGAACTGGTGTGAGTGGACATTCATCTTCTTTAATCTCACTTTTCAAGTTATTTGAGACTAGTTTGTCTTCAGTATTCTGAGCCATAGTTTGGGGGCTAGATGCTGCTTTCTACTTACTTTTTTAAAGGTGACTGATTTTCAGAGTATGGTCCTCAGACTAGCAGCATCATTGAATAAGGGAAATTCATGGGTCTCACTTCACACTTACTGAATCAGAAACTTGGGAGATGGGGCCCCACAGTCTGTGTTTTCAGGAACCCTTCCAGGTGATTTTGAGGCATGCTGAAGTTTGAAAGCCACTGCAGTAGGTGATGTGAAGGTGCGGGAGGGGAAGGCTGTGGTGAAGCAGAGTGCAGCCCATGCTGGGGGCCCTGAGCCCTGCTCTGACTTCTCAGAATCCTACTAATTATCCTCTACCTAGGCTCAATCCTCAGCCAGGACTGTTCCACTCTTTAGGGCTTTGACACATTCCTTCACTTGGCATGTTGGTCTGGAAGTCAGTAAGCTCTGGTGACCCTTCCTACCTCTGTTGGTAGGGCCACCATGAACTGTTGTGCAGGTTGCCCCTAAGTAAGAATGCCTGGCTGAGGGGCTTGAGTGGGAACTTAAATCCAGCTCTGCTCACAGAGAGTGTGCCTGGTGCAGGGCTCCATCAGCCCGGAGGGAGGGATGGCTTTTTCTAATTGATCTACCCAGAGGCTGTATCTTTCCATTCAAAGAACATCTTAGTATGCACTCTAACTGGTAGTCCTGATAAGGTCTTCAAGTGATCACTAGGGAGCTTTTGTCATAAAGATGTTTTACTTAAATTTGTCCAGGTTTTCCTGATCACTCCCTCCCCCTCAGTTCATATCTTTATACATTTTAGGTTATTTTTGAGAATTCTTAGGATTCTGTTTACTGACCTTCTTTTATTTGTACCATTTCTGTGTGTGTGTGTAGTGCTGGGATAAGGTGAGTTAATGGAGTTGACCTTATCAGAATCTTCATTTTCTTTTCTTAGCTTATACTTTAAAAATGTGTAGCACAGCTCATACCACTTTCCTGCTTTTATAGGTGCTGGTAAGATCTTAGCCTTTTAAAATGCTTATCATCTTCTTACTGGTTTTATTAGTTTGTGGCAGGATGGGGAGTGTGATTCTATGACATGCCTCACTCTATTATTAATATACAACAAATACACTAAAAAATTGTTTTTTAACAACACAAAAAAACCCAATTATTTTCTACTTAGCTTTTTATCAGGTGCATTTCCTTGGTTGTAAGTGGCAGACCCGACTTAGAATAACTTAGGCAGGAAAAAAAAAAAGAGGTTTGAGAGGGTGCTGGGTAGTATATGAAATTAAAGAACAAGTCTTGAAGAAGAGCTGGCAACTGGTG